CCCCCCCCTTGCAGGCCAAGATGCCTTTTGATGCCAACAAGCTCTACTGCAGCGAGGTGCTGGCCATCCTTCTCCAGAACACAGACGGTGAGTCCTGGACCTGCCCACCCCACCCCCGCCCAGTCCGTAGCGGGCTCCGTGCCCCCCCTCAATCCTCCCCCTCCCGCCTCTCTGGGCCAGCCCTATCGATTTTAGAAGCTGAGATTGACCTGGAAGGTAGCTGTCAAATGTGCCTTGTGCCCCCTCCTCGCCTTTGCCGGGTTGGGGGGGGGGCTGGGGGGGGCTGTCAGAGCTGACCTTTGACCCCCTCCCCTCCTCCCTGCAGACAACCGGGAGATGCTGGGGGAACTGGATGGGATCGACGTCCTGCTTCAGCAGTTGTCGGTGAGTGATTGGCTGCCCTCTGGCTTGGCCTGAGGGGGGTCTTGGGGGGGGGGAGAAGTGGGGGAAGGCTCAGCCGAGGGGAGGGGAGGGGAGAAGGCGCGAGGGGCAGAGACTCGGAGCCGAAGCCCAGCAGGCTTTGAGACCCTGGGTGGGGTGGGGGCTGCGGCCCGCCTCCTTCACGCAGCCCAGGAAGGATCCACGAGGAGCATTTTCAGGGGGTCCTTGACGTACGTCTGCTTGTTCAGTGACCGTTGGAAGTTACGACGGTGCTGGGGAAAAAAAAAAGGCGACTTAAAGGCCAGCCTTGGACATGATCAGAATTTGGGGGGGCTTGACTGACTCGCATCCCAGGGTCCAGCTGGCTTCTGACCCCCCCCACCCAAGTGTTTCTGCGGAGCTCGATTTTCATGGGGGTTTTTAGTGCGTTTTTTAAAAATGTTTTCCGTTTGGTTCAAAACCAAGTTAAAATGCAGAATACAGAACTCAAAAAAAAAAAAAACAGATGCAAAAGGGGAACAGAAGGAACAAAAAAACACCCCAAATTATCAAAGCATTCAAAAGGTGCATGAAAACACAAACAAACTAACATTGCACACCTATTGTCCCCTCTAGTTGAAGACAGATGATTGTATTATTACAATATTCGCTGCCCCCCCCCCCTCCGAAACAAGCCCCCCCGGATGTTTGCTTTAAACAACTCAATCCGTTTGCAGCTTGTCGAAGCCCCTTCCCCCCATGTTCCTTTCATGCTGCATGCGCCCCCCGGAGTTGCGGGATAGGAGCCGGGTGGGAAACCGACTTCGGAATTAAAGCACCCCAAGTCCACGTCAGTTGACTTTAACCTCAGGGCTTTGGTTAGTAACCCTGGCAAAAGGGATCCTCGTCTTGGGTGCAACGCCCATCCCAACCCCGCCTTGCTCAGCGACGGCCGTTCTGCTCCGGGCTGAGGTCGTAAGTTGAGACTCCCCCCCGGGACAGGATCCTCTTGGGCCAGAAGCTGCCATGGGGCTCAGCCTCCTCCCTTCGGCTCAGGAGCAGCGTTGGTAATGGGTGGGGGGCCCGGGCAGACTCCCTCCTCCCTGGCAGGACTGCCCCCAGAGCCCTCCAGTGGGAAGAAAAAGGGGGGGGCAGACTCCTCCCCCACCCCCAGCAAGGTTGCCCCAAGAGCCATCTGATGGGAAGACCAAGGGGAGCGGGGGTGGGACGGGCTCCCTCCCCGCCCCCTCCTGCAGCGGGTCAGGCAAGGCCGCCCCAAGGACACCACCCAGTGGGGAGATACGGGGGGACGCAGCAGGGCCGCCTGTTGAAAGGGGGTCCCCAGGCCAGACCAGCTCCTGCCTGCAAGTCCCAAAGGTGGGGGGTTGGTTTTTGGTTTTGTTTTTCCTTCCAAAAAGCAGCTGGACTTCCTTGTTGTCGTTTTTCACCCCCCCCCGAAGATGTTTCGCTTCTCACCCAGGAAGCTTCCTCGCTTCTGGCCCGAATGGTGGGGGGGGGGGGAGCGGAAGGACTGAGATTCCTTAGCAGTTCTGTGTCTATTTCCTTAACGTGAATATTCCTCAGCCCCAGTTCCTTTAAATCCCAGTTAAATATTCCCCGTTGGCCCAGCGGGGTTGCGTGACCGGGGGCGTGTCTCGGTTTCAAGGCCCAGAAGGACCGGGGGGGGGGGGGCGGGGGCCGTGAGGGGGGGGCGGCCGGTGTTCGGGGGGGTGGCGGGGGGGGGGGGGGGGGGGGGGGGGGGGCCGGGGGGGGGGGGGGCTGATGCCCCCCCCCCCCCGCCCCCGTGCTGTGTCCCCTCCGGACAGGTGTTCAAGCGGCACAACCCGGGCCCCGCGGAGGAGGAAGAGATGATGGAGAACCTCTTTGACGCGCTTTGCTCTTCGCTGATGCTCAGCTCCAACCGGGATCGCTTCCTGAAGGGGGAAGGGCTGCAGCTGATGAACCTCATGCTCAGGTGAAAGGGGGGAGGGGTGTTAGGGACAGCAGGCCCAGGCCACGGGGGTGGGGGTTTTGCGGGGACAGGGATGGGGGCTCAAGCCCCAATCATAGGTAGAAGCGGGGTGTCTGGAGAGCACAGGGACGGCTGGCTTGCAGGAGGTGTGGGGGCTCCATGGCTGGAGGTTTCCAAGAAGAGGAGATTGGAGAGCCACCTGTCTGGAATGGGCTTCAGGTTGGGCTGGAAGGATCTCCAAGGGCAATTCTGTATTCTCTTCTTCCTCCTTTCCTCCTCCCTCTCCCTCTGACTCCCTCTTCCTTCCTTCCTTCCTTCTCCTCTTTTGTCCTGGGCTTCACTAAATATTTGCAAGAAAACTACCAAGTTCAGGAAGCACCAAGGATCCACAGTCCTCCTCCTCCTCCTCCTCCTCCTCCTCCTCCTCCTCCTCCTCCTCCTCCTC